ATTCTGGGTAAAAGCCAGAGTCTACAATGATCTGTTGTGTCTCCCCATCTCCCCACGGCTCACGCCACTCCTGCCACACTGGCCCTGCTGCTCCTCAAAGGGCTAAGGAAGTTTCTGCATTTGAGACTTTGTGCCTGTTGTTCCTTCAGGCCTTGTCTCAGAAATGCCCTCCTTTCAGAAGCCTCTTTGTTGTATTTTTCTGCATAGAACCTTGTTATCATCTAGGGTTTAATACACATCTCTGTGCATTTGTTTGTGATGGATCTCCCAGCAGAATGAGTACTCCTTGAGGGCAGGGGTTGGTCTGTTTTGCACTGTGTCCGTGGTACCCAGCCCAGGGCCCAGCTGTGTGCCTTGGAGGAGCTCAGCAGGCAATGAGTGAATGAATGTTGGGGAGGGTACAGGAAGAGATGCTCCAGGACCTGGAAGTTGGGGCCAGCCTAAGTGGATTACAGAGGCCCACAGGGCTCATGAGCAAGGCCCGAGCTCTGCCCTCCAGTTCCAGTGTCCCGGGGCCATTAGGGATGTGGATGCCAGCACGTAGGGGTCGTCTGGAGGCAGGCGCCGAAGGGAAGTTGGCCATTTGTAGACACCTGCTCTTACCCCTTCGGCTGGGATCGGGGAGGAGAGAGGGCTGGAGTAAAGGTGAGGGTAGAGGAATGCAGTTTTTCCAAGACAGGAGAGACTTAAATCTACAAAACACTCCAGTGTACAGCCACACTCACCCCCAACAGCATCGTGGCCTCCCTGGCCAGACCCTGATCCCCACTGACCTCCCTCCCCTCTCTGCAGGTCATTGACCACAGTGGTGCCCACCTTGGGGAGTATGAGGACATGTCCAAGGTGGAGAAATACAAGATCTCACAAGAAGCGTATGACCAGAGGCAAGGTACGGGGTGCCCACGGGGGCGGGGGGCAGAGCTGTGGGGGGCAAACAGGATAGGCAGGGACATCGAGAGGAAGTCAGTGGTGGAGGCAGTGGGGGCAGGTAGGCATGAGAGAGTGGAGGGGGTGGGGTGAGGTTGATTTGGGGCCAGATGGGTCTCAGAGCAGTAGAGGGTGGGTGGGCGTGGGGTGCTAATCGGGGCTGGGAGGTGTGAGGGGGTGTGAGCAGGCAGGGCCATGGGAAAGTGGAGAGGAAGGTCTAGTGGGGGGTGGGATGGTCAGGGTCACACTGAGGGCGTGTTGAAGGGGACAGAGCACGCGGAATACGTGGAGGACAGGGCCGTGCGGTGGTCAGGGCAGGCGTATGGGGACACATCAGAATGTGTAGTGGGGCAGATGAGGGTTTTGGGCTGGATGGAGGAGACTATGATACTGAAGGGATGCGGAAAGAGGGAGTAAATGTGAAAGACTACAGGCATCTTCCCTTTAGTTTCTCAGTTGTGGGGGCCCCAGGGGTCCTGGGGAGAGGCCAGGGCTATGGTGGGAGACTTGGAGGGCTTGGGCGACAGCCCTTCGACACCCAGAAAGGAAGAGTTTCTCTCTGAATGTTGGCCCGGTGGGGCTGGCAGGTTATCTCATCAGACCAGAGCGCCCCACCCCGCCCCTGGGAGACGGTATCTGACTCCTGTTCCCCGTCCCCCCACAGACTCAGTCCGCTCCTTCCTGAAGCGCAACAAGCTGGGCAGATACAACGAAGAAGAACGGGCACAGCAGGAGGCCGAGAGCGCCCAGCGCCTCAGCGAGGAGGAGGCCCAGGCCCGGGCCATCGCCGTGGGCAGCCGCTGTGAGGTGCGGGCGCCCGGGCAGCCCCCTCGCCGGGGCACCGTCATGTATGTAGGTACGCAGCCCCGGGGTGGGCAGCTGGGGGACCCAGCCCTGCAGGAGACCTCTGTCCAGCAGGGGAGACGGACCCAGGGGCTGACTGACACCCAGTACATTCACAGCAGGGAAGTGGGATGCAGAAGCAGAGTGACCTGGGTTGTGACGGCGGAAGCAGAGGCCAGAGTGTTCGGTTCTGAGATGAAAGCTTGGCGCACAGTGATCAGATGGGGAAACAGACAAGATTATTAGGTCTGTGATGGGGGGAGCACAGGCTGAAGTGACCGGTACAGGGGTGAGGGAATCTCGGGACTTTGTGGGCTGAGGGGAAATACCCACCTTGAGAGTAATCCAGGAAGGCTTCCTGGAGGAAGGACTGAAAGAAAGGGATAAGTGGAGGCGAAAAGGAGGGAAGAGCATCCCAGCCAGAGGGAGCAGGGAGTGCAAAGGCCATTTCCTCATGGAAAGGCTTGTGCCACAAGCAGGAACAAGCTTGGCCTGTTTGAGGCCGAGAAAGGAAGTCAGCATGGCTAGTGGGGAGGGAACAAGGGGAGAGGTAAGATGTCAGATCCGGGGCCTGGGTGAGGCTGGACCATCCTGGACCTCGAAGACAGTGGAGAACAATGTGGATCTTTTTTTTTTTCAAATAACAGCTTTATTGAGGTATAGTTTGTATACCATAAAACTCACCCATTAAAAGTGTACCATTCATTAGTTTTTAGTATATTCACCAAATTGTGCGGCCATCACCACAGTCAATTCACGTTTTCATCACCCTAAAAAGAAACCCTATAACCATTAGCAGCTACTCCCCATTTCAGAAAGGCCAGCTCCCCCAGTCCACATAGGTGGACACTAATCTACGTCCAGTCTCTCTAGATTTACCTACTCTGGAAGTTTCATATTAATGGACTCACATAATATGTGGTCTTTTGTTCATCCATGTTGTAGCATGTAGCAGTATTTCTTTTTATTACCAAATAATGTTGCATTGTATGCAGTACCACGTTTTATTTATTCATTCATCAGTTGAAGGATGGGTCCTTTCCACTTTTTGACTATTATAAATGATGCTGCTATGAATATCCTTGTGTAAATTTTTAGGTGGACAGGTGTTTTCCTTTCTCTCTGCCTAGGAGTGACTTGCTAGATCCCATAGCAACTCTGTGTTTAACCTTTTGAGGAACCACCACACTGTTTCTCACAGTAGCTGCACCATTTAACGTTCCCAGTAGCAGTAATGAGGGTTCCAATTTCTCTGCATCTTCACCAACACTTACTACTCTCTTCTTGATCATAGCCATTCTTTTTTTTTTTAATAATTTATAATTGTTATTTTAATGTTTTGTTTTTGGGGGAGGGGGATTAGGTTCATTTATTTATTTTTCATTATTATTATTTATTAATGGTGGTACTGGGGCTTGAACCCAGGACCCCCTGCATGCTAAGCACACACTCTACCACTGAGCTACACCCTCCCTCCTGATCATAGCCATTCTAATGGATGTGAAGTGGGAGAGCATTACGGTTTGAGTTTGCATTTCTATGATGGCTCATGATACTGAGCCTCTTTTTAGGTGCTTAACGGCCATCTTCTTTAAAGAAATGGCTATTCCAATCCTTCGCCCATTTTTTAATTGGGTGGTTCATCTTTTTGCTGCTGTTTCTTGGGGCTGCCATTACAAAGTACCACACAGTGGGTGGCTTAAACAACAGAAATCTATTTCTCACAGTTCTGGAGGATGGAAGTCCAAGATCAAGGCCTTGGCAGGTTTGGTTTCTTCTGAGGCCCCTCTCCGTGGCTTGTGTCCTCAGAAAGACAGAGGCTTTTCCTCTGTATGTGAGCACATCCCTGGAGTCTGTCCAGATTTCCTCTTAGGAAGACACCAGTGAGCTTGGATTAGATCCCACCTCCTTTTAACTTAATCATCTCTCTAAAGGCCCTGTCTCCAAATACAGTTACACTCTGAGGTTCTGGAGGTTAGGGCTTCAACATGTGAATCTGAGGGGACACAATTCAGCCCATAACAACTAGTAAGAGATGTTTATATATTCTAGATACAGTGCCCTTAGCAAGTATATGATTTGCAAATATTTTCTCTCATTCTGTGGGTTGGTTGTCTTTCTACTTTCTTGATAGTGTCCTTTGAAGCACAAAAGTTTTAAACTGTTATGAAATCCAGTTTATTTTTTCTTTTCTCACTTGTGTCTATGGTATTATAGCTAAGAAACCAATACCTAAACCAAGGTCACAAAGAGTTATACCTGTATTTTCTTCTAAGGGTTTTATAGTGTTGCATCGTGCCTTTAGGTCTTTGACCCATTTTGAGTTGTTTGTTGCGTGTGGAGTGACGTAGGAGTCCAACTTCACTCTCTTGCACGTGGATGTCTACTTGTCCCGATGTGTTGTGTTGAAGACTGTTTTTCCCTCATTGAACTATCTTGGCACCCTTGTCAGAAATCATTTGACCATAAGCAGTGTGGATTTTATGCTGAGTGGGATGGGCAGCCCTTGAGGAATGTGGGGGCAAGGCCGGGGTACTATTTCCCTTCAATTAAAAAAAATTTTTTTTTTACCCCCTTAACAGAGGCACTGGGGATTGAACCCAGGACCTCGTGCACACCAAGCATGTGCTCTACCACTGAGCTGTACCCCCTGCCCCCTTCGCTTTGATTTTTACAAACCCCATTTGGCTGGGGGTGTTGAGTGACTAAGAGGTCAGGGGTAGGAATGGGGAGACCATATTGGTGTGGGCAGGAGATGGCGGTTGTCCTGGGTGGCAGCAGGGAGTGTTTGTGCCAGGACAGACTTTACACTCAGCAGGCAGGCATGAGTCTGGGGGCAGCTGTGTCCAGAGGTTTCATTGGCATTTCTCCCCTGGGCAGGACTCACAGATTTCAAGCCTGGCTACTGGATTGGCGTCCGCTATGATGAGCCACTCGGGAAGAACGATGGCAGGTAAAGATGCCCACTGAGGAGTGAGTGAGTGAGTGTGTGTGTGTGTGTGTGTGTCTGCCTGCACACGAATATGTGTGCATTGATGAGTAAGTGCGTGCGCGTGCTGCCGGGTGAACCCGCCTGTACTTGCATCCGGTGTACAAGCCCCCTGACACTGCCTCCCTCATCGTACTCTGCAGCGTGAATGGAAAACGCTACTTTGAATGCCAGGCCAAGTACGGCGCCTTCATCAAGCCATCCGTTGTGACAGTGGGGGACTTCCCCGAGGAGGACTACGGATTGGACGAGATGTGACACCCAACGAAGGGCACACCCCTGCTCTAGCTGACTTGCTACTCACTGCCCTTCCGTATGTGTGCCCACGGCCCTCTCCCCTGACCCTGTTTTTATTTTATTCTCATCACCATTGCCATTGACTTTTGAGACCTGTGTATTAAATCTGCCAGAAACCTGGGAGGTGTTTGGAGGACTTGATGATTATAGGAGGGGCTGGGGGACAGCTGGGTAGGTGAAGGTGAGCTAGGAGGCTGGGCGAAATCAAGGTTGGGCAGGGTGAGGCTTTATCCCTTAGCTGGTAGCTGGAGGCCCGTGAGGCTCTCCTTTGTCCTTTATCAGTTAATGTAATGTTGTGCAGTTACGATAAAGAAGCCCAAAATAATAGTGGCTTAAACAAGATTGAAGTTTCTTTCTTTCTCATGTAATCACCAAGAGCTAATATGGTGACCCCTCCGTGTCAGAGGCCAGCCTCCATCTCCACGGATCTCCAGCTCCTGACTCCCACCCTCTACTCCAGGCGCCAGGAAGAGAGGAGGGAGAGGGGAGACCCCTTGCTTTTAAGGAATCTGTACCAACAACTCAAAGCTTGTTCCTATTTCACTGGGCAGTGTTCTGTCACGTGACCACTTGTGGTCACAAAGAGGGCTGGGAAATGTAGTTTGTATTCTGGGTGGCCATTGCCTAGACACCTCTCAGAAGTTCCTGTACTACAGAAGCTGAGGGAAAGGGATATCGAGGGGTCAGCAGGTGGTTCTACCACTGTCCCTGTGTATGGGGGACCTGACCGTTCACTTAATACTTGAAAGAAGACAGAAAGCTGAGGTCTTTAGAAGTAGCATGAGGTCCCTCAGACACTGCAGAGCTGGGCAGAGAGCCCTGTGCCCTCAGGTATGTGATGTGTGCGCATGCGGCCCGTGCGTTCTAGGGAGCCTGATCCACCACATACGTGTCTGCATGTGCAGTACCCCCTCATTAGCAACTTGAAGGGATTCCTGATGGAGTGACTATCTGTGGGATTCTACCTGATTTTTGCAGTTACTTAATTATAACTTCTGGAGGAGCTGGCAGTGATGGGAGCAACCACAGGAAGCAGCGTGAGGTTGAAATGCCTGAGAGCGGAAGGGATCCTTGAGGAAGCTGCTCACATCCACATGCAGCCTGATGTGTACATATCTGATGCCCAGCGTAATGTACATGGACACACTCAGGTATACAGAACATCCGCACACTGGACTCACGCTCAGACACTAGAGACACATCCAAAACACAGACGCTAGAGGTCACATGTGCACAAAGAGTCTCTCCCTCACACACAGGGGAGCCACACTAACACACAGATTCACATCAAACACCTACCAGGACTAGATACACACCTACACACACACACACACACAAATCAATGAAGCTGTCAATCTACAAAACAAAACAAAACTGGTTACGTTATGAAAGGATCCCAAGGCTTAGGTCCTTCCATGGGACAGAGTTGTCAGAAAGAAGAGCGTCAGCGGAGATATCCCCACATTCTCACCCAGCACCTACCAACCTAAGATCAGCCAAAGTTCAGCAGAATGAGCTCAGCTAACGGATCAGAGTTGAGGACCTGAGGATCACTTTAAGATTAGGCCCCGTGTGCACCTTCATGTGATGAGGCCAAAGGAAAGGGGCAGGAAGATGATCACGTGCTCTCCGAGACACACTGGTCACCCTAGATCATACCTTTGAGCTCCAAGCAAGGGTCACAGCATCACTGTGTATGAGGATCTGCCAAACTGCAGTGGGGGATCTAAACACAAACTGGCAGGGTGTGCTGGAATGCTGTCCAGCTGTCAGCATGGAAGAAGCTCTCCCCGTCACAACATGGGGAAACACTGAAGTTTTTGATGGCAATGGAAGGGACCATGCTGGTAATTTCTAAATAGGAAACCGCCACTTGCTATGTGCAAGTCAACCACAATTACAGATTGGAAACTATAGGATGACCTGGTACATAAGTTTTAATATCAAAGGGCCCAGAAGGGAAAGGGGGACGGTGGTCAATGTGTTAAGGTAATACCAGCTGTTGTAACAAATACCCACTACAGTCTGATGCAGAGGCTCTGGTTGATAGGCAACAATGTCCATGATTCACACACTCAGACTCCATCTTGGGGCTCCATCCTTTCCGTGTGCTCGGAATTATCTGCTTCCAGCTGGCAAACAGGAGAAGGCAGCGTCGGGAAGTTTCACCATTTTCTTTAAAAACCTGATCTACATGTTTCACTTCTGCTTGTATCGGTGAGAATCTGTCAGTCTTGCAGCTACCCTAGATGCAGAGGGGGCTTTGGAACAAACTCCTGGGCTGAGCAACTTCGTCTCAACCACTACAATGAAAAGGGACCACAGATTTTGGCAGCTTCAACACTGACCACCCTGTACCGAGTCACCAGATCCATAACCTCAGGGGAAGCAGCAGGAAGGGGCTGTCGGGTCCACCAGACCCATCAAATCGTCCTGTTCCTGGCACAACTGCCCACGGCTGACCTGCCACATATACCACCCTCCTTAATCCTCAGGTCAGTGCAAATGGAAGACAGTGAATGTCCAACACTCTTTCCTCTCAATTTTCGAGCCTTCCCTACCCACACTGCATGTCAGGCTTGATGCTGGGAACACACTCATGAATTGAACACAGTACTGGCTTGGGAGTTGAAGGCAGACAAACAGGATTACCAAGTATTTCCTTTTTTTCTGGACTGTGATACTATGAATGAGGTTGCTGGCAGTAGGGAAAGGGAGAACACAACCACTGAATCCACTAAGTGGTGCTGGTATGAGGGAAAGGATGGGATGGACGAGACTGAACAGGAGATGCGAACAAAAGGGGGCGGGGCCTGAAGTAGTCCCTTCGGTGATTCATGCTGATCAGAAACCTGATCCCAGCGCTAAAAACAAATTTAGGCTGAATACAGGGAACTGTTGTCCTGGAGCTGGGCTAAACTGCTAACTCAACGAGCTAATGGCCCACTTGCGTTCATTCGTGTACCAGTTACAAACTTGGAATAATTCAGTTGGTCAAGAGGTGGTGTAACCTTAAAGCACAGACCTTAAAGCCGGGCGGCCTAGGTTCAAACCCCAGTCCTGTCACTCACCAGCTGGGACACTGAATTATTTGTGTTCCTTTTCTCTGGGTTTCAGCTTCATTTCTGTAAATTGGGACGGATAACAGTACCTCCCCCAATGACTGTTGTGAGCATTAAATGAGATAATGCATGTAAAGCATTTAAATTCAGAGCCAGGCACGCAGGTAAATGCTGTATTAGCTGTAGGGATAAAAACGCCTATATACAGTCAGTTTCTATGCTGGCTTCATTTAATCCTCACAGCGGTCCTGTCCTCGATTTCTTCACCGTTTTCCCTTCACCATCCCATCTTTCCTGGCTCAAATTTGGGGCCACTCTTCCCGAAGTCCCCGCAGCCTGAGCGCCCCCAGCCTCCGCAGGGCCCCAGACGCGGGCAATAACCGCTGGGCCGCCACGTGGGGGCAGCAGCGCGCTGCTCTGCGCACCGCGCGCGGCGCGTTCTGGGGCGCGTAGTCTCACTGGCGTTGGGCGGTGTCTCCCAGCCCAGAGCGCGGACTGTACTCACCCATTTCAAGTTTAGAAGCGGAGGTCTCGCTCCCTCCCTGCGGCGCGGGGAAATGTAGCGTGGTGGGGATTTCGCTCCCATGGGGAGGGCGGGGTTGCGCAGGCGCTAACGGCCTGCGGGACCCGCTTTGGTTTAATCAGAGTAAGAACCGACGCCCTGGAGGGGGCGCCAGAGCTGACTTTCTGGCTGCATTGGAAGAACAGAGACGACCTCTCTTACTGACCCATAGGCGGCTGGCCTGTCTTGCCTCACTCCGGTTTTCTACATCTCAACCTGCCACTCTCCCGGGCTCCCGGTCAACTCTCAAGCTGGGTCAGGGTGCTCTCATCTTAAAGGTAAAAAAAAAATCCCCTTTCCCCTCTTATCTGTCACCCAGCTTCAGTAATTGTCAACATATGGTCAGTTGTGTTCAATTTTTCTGGCCTTCCCCCTATTTCTCCACTGCACACCCCACGCCATTATTTTAAAGCGGATCTCAAGCAACGTATCATCTTTTCCAGAAAAGTTTCTGTGTCTGTATGTATATCTAAATTATAGGAGGTCTTCACACCTAACAAAAATTGCAACAATTCTTTGGGATTATCTGATATATAATCGGTATTAAGGTCTTCGACTGTTTCATAAAATGTTTTCTTACTGTTGGTTTGTTCAGATCAAAAGCTACATAGTGTACATGCCCGCATTTGGTTGCTGTTACTCTGGGTCTTTTATTCTACAACAGTTCTCCCTCTCAGTTTTCCTGTGGGATTTCCCAGAGTTTGGTTCGGCTGGTTGTACGTTGTGCTGACCTTTAATATATTCCTCTTTCCCCATATGTTCTACAAACTGGGAGATCCAAAAACTGAGTCAGATTCAGGCAGATCCCACCTTGCACCAGAGTTTCCCCCCATGACCTGTTATTGTACACCGGGCCCTGCTCACTGATTTACATGGCATGCCTGGCTGCTTTAGGATTAGAGTTAGAGATTGAATTTGTAACCCCTGTTCTGGTGCTTTTAAAGTATGTCCACGGCACACCTGAAACTAACATAATACTGTATGTCAATTATATTTCGATTTAAAAAAGAGAACATAAACAGATAAATAAATTTTTAAAATACGTCCACAAATTCTTTGACACTTCTCTCTTTAAGAGCCCTGTTTTTGAGTGTAGCCTGGACTTTGTGCCTTGCTTCTAAGGAATAGAACTTGGCAGAAGTAAGAGGGGCTTCTAAGACCAAGTCATAAAAGACATTGTATCTTCATCCTGCTCTCTCTCTTGGCCCACTTGCTTTGAGAGAAGCCCGCTGTCCATGTGATGACAAAACCAGAGCAACTCTATAGATGAGAAACTGAGCCCAGGCAAGATTCAGCAGGAAACTGACTGAGGCCCTGTGAAGAGGGCAGGAGGAGGCGGCCAGTACTAGTGGGAACTCCTGAGATCCCGGCCCATAGAATATTGTGGGATAATAAATATTGTTTCAAGAGATTAGATTTTGGATTTAATTTGTTAGCAGCAATAGCTACCTCACGACTTGTGTTCCAGTTATCTATAACTGCATTAAATTTTATCTC